TTTTTTTCCCTTCACTATGTGTAATTTTATGCTCCATATATAATACAATTCTGGTAAAAAAAAAATAAAAAATTGAAATAATAATAGCATGACTTGGTTAATTAATACATATAACAGTATTAATATTTTATTAATTTGGGCTAGTTTAAAAGATTAATATTTATTTTATATTTTATTTTATTATTTTATTTTTTTTCATATTTTATATTTTTATATGCATATGATTTCACATAATTTTTATTAAATTTAACGAATATTATAAAAGAAAAAAAAAACTAGGAGGGGTTTTTTCTAATAAAAGCTATTGAATTTTTTTTTTATTTTGTCATTCTCATAACCAATATGTGAATTAAAGATTGGTTGGTTATTAGTAAAGAAAGGATGATACAAATGGACATGCTATATGTTAAAACCTGCCAGTTCATTCTTGTGATATTAATTGGTTTTTATATAATTCAAACCAGGTGAATATGCAGTTAAATGAATTATATGAATTAGCATTAGTAAATCTTATAATATGAAAAAATATATTAATATTAATAATCAATTTGCTTATATTGATATAAATCATATCGATTTAAGCCTAAATATTATCTTGTATAGAACTCGTTTTCTTGGTTTTATGATTTGTAATATGTAAGTATCTTTAATACCAAAAATCAAATATTCAATAGTATAAAAGGGTAATAAACTAAGAGAGGAGTTTTGCTATTCTTTGGTTATATATTGTAAAAGGTTCATGATGGATAATTCTGATAATGAATTTAATTTTTCATCTGGCCAAGATGAAGAAAGTGATGTTAAATTATTAGCTTCAACATTTACATCTACTTCAGTTTTATCTACCTCAGCTTTGTCTACTTAAAATACAAAGGTTACTAAAAAAAAAAAAAAAAAAAAAACACCTAGTAGTTTTGTTTGGAAGTTTTTTCAAAGATATATAGCATTAGAATTATTAGATGATAAAAAAGTAGAAGTGGAAAAGGTTTCTTGTAAATTTGAAAATTGTGATACAGAATATATATGGCTAGAATCAACTAGTAATTGTATAACTCATCTTCGTGATATACACCAAATCACCAAAGAGTTACTTAAAAATACATTAGTAAAAGCAAAGCAACAAACGATTTGCCAAGTAATTTCAAGATCTCATTCTTCTCATATTCAAAAAAAGCTTACATATCAACTTGTATGCTATATAATTGCATGTACTCAGCCTATTTCTATTGTTAATTATGATGATTTTAGGCTTTGGACAAAAAATCTCGATCCTTGATTTAAAGTTCCATGTGTTAATACTATTAAAACCGTTAGGGCAGTGTTATTTATCATATGATTTTTTTTTATCAGAGACTTACCCCCCTCTCCCCTTTTAATATAAAAAAAATCAAGTTCTTATATATAATTTTAATTTTTTTTACCCCCTTCTTCCTAAAAATCACCTGATTTTTGTCACGTCT